ATATAACGTTAGTAGTGTACTACTAACTTAAGTTACGTTAGTTACTAGTACGTACTACTACTATACTACACTACTATATATATATATATATATATATATATATATATATATATATAGATTGGATCCATCTGTACCTGACCCGTCAAATCCAAATCTTGAATCCATACCCATACCCATATTCGAATAGGATCCGAAATTGGGTTTCGGATCCAAACCAAATAAATTCTTAACCTAACCCCTAGGTTAGGGCTCTCTCTCTCACGCACTCTCTTTACCGAGATTTTATTATACTACAAATCCCCAAAACTTGCCCTCAATTTGTATCAGTATCTCTATAACATGCACATTCAAAACCCTATAAAGAACAAACACCTCCCCCCCTCCCCCCCCCCTCTCTCCTAATGAATGAAAGTTGCTGGGAGAAAGACATTAGTTGGTATGCACAATAGAGGTCATGGAATTTTGACATTCACCTCTCATGCCACTTAAACAAATCTTTCGAAAAGAAAGAAGGGTGCATAGCACCACAATGTTAACTGATATGTCACTACTTATTGGAAAAAGTTTATATTAGGTTTCAACCTTATACTGTAGAAATAGGTGACCTAAAAAGTTCTCCTGAAAAGAATGTTCTACCATCAAGAAACCCTACATATAATTCTTGGTCCTGTTTCATCATAACAACCTTTTTGGGTAGATGAAAAGAAGAATACAACATAACCAAATCAATTAAAGGGTGGTGATACAATTTTGTGTATTTAAAACTATTAGAAATAAATTATTAGAGTTGGACTAGTAACAAATTAGACAAACTCTTAGGAGATGACTAGACATAATTATCTCAACGCCCAACTTGAACATATTAGAAACAAGACCAACACATAGAAATGCATTTGTTTGTCTTATGAAACATAACCATACCATGAAGCACATCATAGAATACATGTGAACTTCTCATTTTCATATTGCAGTACAAAATTCAAGTACGATACAAGTTTAAAAGCTTATGTTTGAATACTTCATATGTTTTTGCAGGAAAACACGCCCACCTCTCACAAGGCCAATCTTCTTCAAGTTGTGCTTGTTGGCTTTATGTGGGTATACAGTGGCACAAAATGCTTATTTTGCAGGCCTTTTTTACTCCTCTCCAACTGTTACCAGTGCCATGAACAATCTTTGCCCAGCCATTACCTTCATCTTGGCAATAATATTCAGGTACCATACTATCTCAAAGTTTTTGCTTTTCGGTGCACATTCCTTCCTTGTTGCAAATTATGTTACCAAGATGTCTTGTCTTTTAGGCCGCATCATGTGTCAACATGTGAATGCCTTGCAGACATTCGGATGTACGAGGCTATTAAAAATGTCTAAGTAGCTTAAAGCTGAGATTTTAACCCAAAACATCTTGTGCCAAGTTCATGCAACCTTTTGCTGTCCCAAATGCATTAAGAGTTTAAAGACCATGAAGTATTTGATATTATATTTCTATTATTAAGCTTATTATTTTATTATAAAATGCTGATTGTATGGTCGGCATCTTGCGATATTGTCTTTAGGCCAAAGTACTAGACCCTTTCCACATGTAGTAGAAACGATATTCAATAACAATGTTTATATAACGTTGGATAGAAGTATCATAATTTTGATTGATTTTTTTTATTCATTGTTCTTCAAACATATGGTAATCGTTCTTGCAAGAAGGTGAGAGTATGAAAGTAGTTCAAATATTTTTCCAAAAACAAAACCAGAGATACACCAATTTTTATTTAAGAATGAATGGTTTTGCAAATTGTAAAGAAAACAATAAAGACTCCTTGTGATTCTTCTTCTGTCTATTTTTTTTAAAAAACAAATTGTTTTTAATGTATGCCAATAATTGCTCATAATACAGGATGGAGAAGGTGAACACTAAAACTCATCGTGGGCAAGCCAAGGTCCTGGGCACCTTGATTTGCTTAGGAGGTGCAATGACCTTCATTTTTTATAAGGGTTACCTCTTCCCACCCCTCAAGGATTCCTCGATTGATATTCATGGCCTCAACTCTCATAGTGGGGCAACACATGCCAAATCAGACTGGGTTAAGGGTTCCTCGTTCGTAATTCTTGCAATGTTGTGCTGGAGCGTGTTTCTAATTCTACTGACATCTCTCTGCAAAGACTATCCTGCCCCGCTTTCAATGAATGCATGGATTTTTTGCTTTGTCGTAATCCAATCGGCCGCTGTTGCTGTGATCTTTGAGAGGACAGCTTCACCTTGGGCACTGGATTGGGATCTGAAGCTCTTAGCCTATGTCTACAATGTAAGTCCCTTTGCCCTGTCTAAATATGTGAATAAGCATGAAAAAAAGCGGACTTCTATTTGGAGCCCAATTCTCACTGCCAAAAATGAATGGCGTTCAGCCAATTTTACGTGTAAACATGCACTTTGACATCACCTTTTTCCAAGAAGGCATTCGGCCTCCATTCCGAATGAGCTTCCTTTTGCCATGGCTTATTAGAATCTAGACAGGGCAGAAATTACTCGTTTTCTCTCTAGTTTTCCGATTACTTTTTTTTTTTTTGCTTTTACAAATGAATCCATAAGAGATGCGAATGTTGACACTGCACTTATTTGATTTCTAAATATTGGAAAAGTTCCCGTTTACAATATCTTTTTTTTATAGAATATTAGTATATGAAATATTGATAAACCGATTTAATGAAATGAAACTACATTGAATCTTCACAATTGTAAAGCCCATAGTCTCAACGAGGGGCATGTTTTCATACTTTTCCCCACAATATAAGGGGGAAAGGGAGGCTTTAGGCTTTTATGTGCCCAAACACCCCTTTTTGAGATCTTAGAACAGTGTACTAGTAATGGTCTTATACTCATATTACTTAGACACCCCTACGCCCTTATTCAACCTATGCCACCCAGAAATCTTGGTGTCCACCTAGGTGCCAGGCGACTAGGACCCCACTGGCAACTTAAACGCGTCACTGTATTTTTTAAAACACTGGTAAGGCCATATCTTAATAGTTGAATAGTTCTGTTGTGTTGAATTCTAAGCTTTAGATGTATAGCGTACTAATTGTTTTTTATTATCTATTTTTTATTTGAGGATTCCTCCCAAACTAAGTTCGGAGGCATCACATTCAATAATTTTAAAAGCATTAGAGTCGGATAGGATTAAGCAAGGTAATTCAGTTGATTTACTTTTAAGAATTCGAATGGCATTTGTATGTTGATTCGTCCATTTAGGAGGATTCTTTTTTAGTCGGTCATATAAAGGTTTAGCAATTATAGCAAAATCTTTAATGAAATCAGAAATATAGTTTAGACGTCCTAGAAATCATTGTAATTCGACTTTATTTAGGATAATGTCATGAAATTTAGTAGAGAATTCAATAGCTCTATCAATAGGATTGATTGTACCTTGGAAGATATTATGACCTAAAAATCTAATTTTAGTTTGACAGAGATTCATTTTCTTTGCAGAAACTACAAGTCCGGCATTTTTCACAGTATTGAGAAATATATTTAGATGTTTAAAGTGTCGATGAATTAAAAAGATAAGAACATCATCAATATATACTAGCATATATGTCATATAAGGATTAATAACATCATTCATGATTTTCTGGAATTCAGATGATGCATTTTTTAGACCGAATGGCATTACATTCCATTCGTATTGGCCAAATAGAACATTAAATGTTGTTTTATAGTGATCTTTCTCATTTATTTGTATTTGCCAGTATCATGATTTAAGGACAAATTTTGAAAAAATACAGACATTTACAAGTCTATCTAATAAATCTTTTTTATTAGGAATTAGATATCTGGTCCATTTTAAAACTTTATTTGGTGGTTTATAATTAATAACTAATCTTGGAACCCCTCATTGCTTTTCAGCATTATTTTCTACATAAAAGGTGGCACAACTCTATGGAGATGAGCTTGGCCTTATTAATCTTTTTTTTAAGAGAGAAGTTATTTCTTTATGACAAATTTCTACCATTTTTTAATTCATTTGAATTGGGCGAGCTTTTGTTGGTATTTTATTTTCAGAAAAATCCTTATTCATATGGAAGAGATACTATATGTTTTCGTCTATTCCAGAAAGCATTAGGTAAATCACTACATATTTCTTTTTCAAATTGTTGTCTTAGGTTTTCAATTTTTGACTTTATTTCAGGAAATAATAGTTGTTCCTCAATTGTTTTATATTTTATTTCAGTTTTGAGCTGATATAAAAAATTTTCTTTATTTTGTATGTTTTGTTTTATATTATTTATTTCTTTTATTTTTGGTTTGTCAATAAACTCAAATTTTACTTTTATTCCTTCAATTGTTGATTATAATCCAGTATGGTCTATAACAATAGGGTATAACATACTGATAAAAGGGGTGCCTAGAATTATTGCTTGATTAAGTCATTTTACCATGATGAATGGCAATTCTAGACAAATACCATTATTGCAAATGGCTGTATCTGATAGTTGGCTGTATCTGATAGTTTATAGTTTATTTTTAATTTGCTTCCATCGGCTGTATTTAGAATTTGAGTAGTTTTATCAAAATATTTTGTAGGGACAAGTCCCTAGTTTATACAATTCAAATCGGCACCTGAATCTATTAAGGCCATGGATTGAAAATGGTATTCATTCTGAACTATGATTTTTACTAAGGTATACAATTTTTTATTTAATATTTTATTGATTAAATTTAACTGAGGTTCTTGTTTATTGTCTAATGATTGTGGTTTATCTAATATTCTATTATTGGTTATTAGTTCATTAAATTCTATGTCTTCATCTTCGGAAGGATTATCAGTTAACTCATTTGTTAATTCTAATAACTTAATCCTATTTTTCAAATTATTAAGTTCAGATTTTACTTCATTAACTTCGTGTTTTAATTCAACAATAGTAGGTTCTCTATGAATGTTATTCTTCTGACCAATTCTTTTAAGAATTTCAGAGAAGCTATACTCTTTTGGTGGTTTTATTAATGAAGTTGGTTTATTCCTAGCTTTGGCTATTTGAATATATTGACTGATTATTGTTCTTTTATCTTCAGTATTTGGAATTTTGTCTATAATTTCTAAAATTAAATTGTCTTCTTTTGTAAGGGTATGACATGCCCATTTATTGTCGTTGTCAGATAAGGAAGATGTCTCATTTAATAAGTCTTCATCTTTTATTATTCCTATATCTGATCCTTCATCAAAACTTTCAGAAGAAGAAGATGAGGTTGTACTAATATCATTATCATATAGCTGAATAATTTCATATAATTGATTTCTTATATTTTCATCTAATATTAATGATTCTATCTTTTCTTGATATTACAATTACTTTTATAGTGTCCTTATTTTCCACATTTATAACATCTAGGTATTTTCCTTTTAGGCCTTTTATTTTTAGAACTTCCTTTAGAACGTTGTTCATATTTTTAATATTTATTTTTCTTGTATCCTTTTTTATAGGATTTTTGTCTCTTTTCTGTTTTTATTCTTTTATGGGGTTTATTTTGGGACAAATTTAAACTATATCAGAATTGTTCGCAAAAATCACCTAGTTCTTTATGATCAGTCATCTTTTGTTTATCAAGTTGTTTTTTGAGTTTTAGATCAGTACAAAGAGCTAGCCCTTCGGCACATATTTTAGCTGATAATTCTCCTAGAGTATAGAGTTGATATGGTATGATCCCCCAATTTTTGGTCTTAAGTCGATTGCAGACTTTTCAGCAAAAAGATAGGGAAGACCAGAAATAAATTTTTCTTTCCAGTGATCGGAATTACTATCTTCACGAATAAGAAGGCGGGAAAGAAAACATCTTTATACCATTTATAGTGAGAAAGGGTTGGACATTTAAGATTAGAAAGGAGGTCTTCAGATCTTGCTTCTAGTACGGCAGTGCTTCTTACAAAGTGAAGGGTTATTGTGTATATGAGGGTATTGACAGCGTCGCTTTCTGCTTGGACGATGTCTTGATTTAATTCATTTTTAATATATGATTGTTTAGTGGCTGCTAATATTTGTTGTTTTGAGATATCATTAAGATGGAAGTCCCACCATCCTCTAAGCCAACCAGTGAAACCACAGATAATAGCTTTCACTACATCTTAATCATGGGCTCTAAAGACCTGGCACACTGTAGCATACATGGTCATGTGTTTCATTGTATCAAGAATCTGATGATCGGACATTCCGTCTATATTCCAATGAACAATAGTTCGTCCTGAATATGATACTGTATGGGATATAAGGTCTTTTTCGAATTGTATATCGACTGGTGTAGGTCTAGTATGGTACATTCTAGATTGAGACACTGGTCTCCATTTTTTACCATAGTCTATTCTATTAATATTATTTTCTTGAGTAAAGCATCTGTGATATTAGTAATAGTATTCTGTATTTCCGGTATTTCATGTTGCATCATAGTTGTTGGTTCTGTTATTTTTATTACCGATTCTTTACTTTTAGCTTTCTCCTTTTCTTTAATATCTAGGCTTGCTAATTTAGTAATAAATTGTTGCATTAATTCAGATGAAGGTTCTTCTTAATTAGAGGAGGAGATTTAAATAATATTGCCATTTTCTTTTCTTTTATTTTTTCTTGTGGTTGTCTGATAATATTCTCTATCCTGGTTGTTTGTTTTCCTATGGTTTGTAAATATAAATTTGTATAATTATTTTGTTCTAATATATGAGGTAATAGTTCTATTTTATGATAGTGTTCTCCAGGAAGTGTTTTGTATGGAGTAGCTACAGTTTCTAAATCCTCTTTCTGATCTTTTCCTACAATTTTTATACTTTCTTCAGAAGGATGAATACTTCGAATTTGTTTTTGTTGATCGGTAGCATATGTTTGATATTGATTTTATGGAGTTTATGGAATTCAGGGCTTTTAACTCCTTTTAAAAGTAATGTAGTATTGAGCCATTCAAAAAATCCTAAGTTTATTTTTTCTTTTTTCAAAAATTTATTATATCTTTTATGAGTCATTTGTATTAATTCTTTTGAAAAGGTAGTTAGGTACCAATTTCTAAATTCTTTATTGTTTTCGCTTAAATAATCAATTTTGATATATTCTTTATTTATTTTGTTTTCTTTTTGTAATGTTAATAATTGAAAATCTTGATCTAGAGTTTCTATGTTCATCGGTTGATATATAGGTTTATGTATATTATCTTGAGTTCTAACTAATCCTTGTATTTCAGGCTCTAAAGATGATGTAGTCTCAGGTCTTGATATGCTGGATACAGATCTTCTAGATGATAAGAAATTTGTTGAATTCCTTGATACTGGAA